ATGATCCTAATGCTACCTCAGAAAGGTTAAAGTAAGAAAAACACATCCTATCAAAACCCTCATAATAATAATGATATTTCAATAAAGTCAGGGTTCTCCACGCAGCTTCCAGCTTCAGTCTAATTGTATCATAAAAGTCAACAATCAACTGTGTGTCATTGTTTCTTTCTACTGTGGTGCAGGAATAGCAGACGCTGCCATTTACAATGAAAATAGATGAGAAGTTGCTTAATATAAATGCACTGACAGATCACTGCACAATAGTAACATTTTTAAGGACATGAAATGTACATGTCTTTAACTGAAGCCTGGTTTCTCTGAAGGACTTTGACAAGAAAATGCTCATAACCTTTATTATTATGAAGACCATTCAAAGGTGGTTTTGATCAAAATCACTACATAGACAGATGAAAATGACGGTGAGGATGTGTTAGTAACAATGTCAAGTTTGGATAACACACACTGCACACTACAAAGATGCAACAATTATAGAAGGAAGAAAATATATATTTTTAAGTATTTATAAAAAGTTTTTCAGGTGTCAGTCTTTTAGAAGTCAAAATATTTTGGCTGTCTTTTAAATGTCTCTCTTTGAAGGATTAGTTTTATAATGTATAATTTACATTAGTGTTAGGGTTTGGCACTTACTTGTGAAGGTTAAACTTTGGGGTTAGCGGGTTGTGAATGCCTTGAAGTCAATAAATGCACTTACAACAATATCCACAAACATGTCTGTGTATTTATCCACGGTCCCTGGGCCTAAACACAGAGTCGGGCACAGAGCAGCTGCTCCAAGGTGAAGAAGGCCAGACAGAGATTTCTCTGATTTGCTCAACTTCTTTTAATCAAGTTAGATTTTCTCTAAATTCTATAAACTTTTTTGATTTCGGTTAATACGAGAAAATAAATATGTACTGGTTAATTTTGGTTAATTAATTTTTTTATTTTATTTTTTTTACAAATTCCAGGAATACAGTGGATGGAGGCAGAGTGATTCAAACACAGTCATTTTTATTGTGTAGTTAATAAACGTCACACCATTTTCTTAGAAAAATAAAAGACAACTGACCATCTGTGTCATGTGATGTGATGATCGTGCATAAATATTGAAGCTAAGACAATTCAAGCATTCCTTAAGAAGACAAACATTTAACATTTAACATTCAACAAATAAAATTTGTTAAGAGAACAAAAAAAAAAAAAGAAGACATACATTTAATGATTGCATAATCCCGCTTTCTTCCTGTGTTTGACTCTATTAAACAGTAACACGCTGTTACCCAGCTGTGTTTCATCTGGCCCCTTTGGACTTGTGGATCGACCGGTGTGAGGTGCACGAGGTCTAAGCACCCCTGAAGGGACTCTGATAGTTTGCACTGATCCATGGTTTGCTGAACAGAACAAGATTTGACTTGATTTCTTAAACTTTGTGACAGTAAGGATGACCTTTGATGACCTCTTGGAAGAGGCCGGGTCATTTGGCCGCTGTCAGAGGCGAATCTTTGCCCTGCTCTGCCTCTTGTCGTTGCCTTTTGCAGGGGTATACGTCGGCATCGTATTCCAGGGTTTCACCCCTGATCATTGGTGTCGGGACCCTGCAGTGGTGGAGAGGAGGCATGCATGCGGCTGGAACCTGACAGACAGTCGCAGGCTGACGGTGCCTCTGGTCAATAGCTCTGGACTGGTGCAGCACAGCACCTGCGAGCAGTATGAGGTGGACTGGAATGCCACAGAGCTGACCTGTGACACACAGGAACTGGACCTGAGTGGAGTCCCACTTACAGCATGCAAGGTCAGTTCCTATATGACTGTTTTTCACAGTGTTTATGTATAATTTTCATATAGTTTCATGTATAGTTTCATATGCACAGTTTACGTAGATAAATGGGTGATGTTTTATAATTTAACTATAGTTTTATAGTTTAATAATGTCAGTCTTGAGCATTAAATAATGGATTCAGTGCTGTTATAGGTAGTAGAAACAAAAAGAAGACTAAAAATGTTTTTTTAATATTTTTGTTCATCAGTGACATTATGGAAAGGCCAAAAAAACCCAAAACAAAACAAAACAAAACAGCCTTTAACTACTTTTACACAAGATAAAGTGTTCGAGGTACAGTTTTTTGGTTGGTAGATTGTTCCAACATGTTAGAGAAATTCACAGAGCTGTTCTGTGTTCTGCTCTCTCAGTCGCTTTTGATGTAATCAGTCCCACACAGACTCCATGATGTTGATAATACGACTCTGTGGGGGACAGACCATCTGTTGTAGAACCCCTTGTGGCTGAAGATAGTTTACACTATTTTTACTTATGAGCCTGACTGGATGTTAGGACTCGTCGCTTTCCTTCTGCCGATGAATCAGAGACCAGATATCTCCCTGAGCACTGCGTTAAAATAATTTGAATCAGCGCAACAGGCATTTACTATGGTTTTAGATTCTACACATTGTTCTTGCTTGTTCTGTGCTCAGGTCCTACTCTACCCCCAGTGCACTTCTTTTAGTTTTCAGCCACTGGTGACTGAAGAAAAGTCATCCATGAAGAAAACAAAGTGCCAAATACTAAAGTTCCTCTAATGGACACTTGAGGCTGGCTCCAAAATGCCACTATGAGTATGAATGAATACCTCTTGCTTTCTGTTAATCTTCATATCTTTTAATTCATGCTACTCAGTAGCACCTGAGTTGGCAATGTTTAATAGTGGGTAGATAATAAGTTATTAAGAATACAACCAAAGAAAACAATTTTCCTTGTCCATATACACTGGGGCTAAAAAGTATTTAGTCAGCCACCAGTTGTGCAAGTTCTACCACTTAAAAAGATGAGAGAGGCCTGTAATTTTCATCATAGGTGTACCTCAACTATGAGAGACAAAATGATAAAAAAAAAAAAAAACAGAAACTTTTTGGTAAAAACTCTACTTGTCATGTTTGGAGGAGAAAAAATGCTGAGTTTCACCCAAAGAACACCATACCTACTGTGAAGCATGGGGGTGGAAACATCATGCTTTGGGGCTGTTTTTCTGCAAAGGGACCAGGAAGACTGAAACATGTAAACAAAACAATGAATGGGGCCATGTTTCATGAGATTTTGACTGAAAACATCCCATCAGCAAGGGCATTCCAGATGATGCGTGGCTGGGTCTTTCAGCGTGACAATGATCCCAAACACAGTGCCCAGGTAACGAAAAAGTGGTTTTCTAAGAAGCATTTCAAGGTTCTTGAGTGGCCTAACCAGTCTCCAGACCTTAACCCCATAGAAAATCTTTGGAAGGAGTTGAAAGTCTGTGTTGCCCAGCAACATCCCCAAAACATCACTGCTCTAGAGGAGATCTGGATGGAGGAATGGGACAAAATACCAGCAACAGTGTCTGAAAACCTTGTGAAGACATACAGAAAACATTTGACCTCTTTCATTACCAACAAAGGGTATATTAAAAAGTATTGAGATGAGCTTTTGTTATTGACCAAATTTGTTGTTGACCAAATACTTATTTTCAACCATAATTTGCAAATAAATTCTTTAAAAATCAGACAATGAGATTTTCTGGATTTTGTCTCTCATAGTTGAAGTATACCCATGATGAAAATTACAGACCTTTCTCATCTTTTGAAGTAGGAGAACTTGTACAATTGGTGGCTGACTAAATATTTTTTGCCTCACTGTATTCAGCAAGGATCAACAAGAAAAGGGTAAGAAACTGTGTGTTGTAAGCAAGACAAGGCCTCTAAAAGTGTGAAACCTTACAGTTTACAGAGTTAAACCTTGACAGTTGGAGCCTGTGTTCCCATTGGGGAAGACAAATGACCGAAAAACACAACTGAAAAGCTTTGTGTGAAGTGTTTAAACTGTCCGTATTGGATTAACTGTTTACTTTTTTTGTCTTTCAGGAAAGCTGGGAGTATCAGTATGAAGGCAGGAAATCCTTCGTCACAGAGGTGAGAAGACAGTTTGCGTAAACTTAACAAAGTTACTTTAGATTTAAGAGAATTCCCTAAAATGTCTCTGTATTAATTGACTAAACTGTGCAGGTATGTAAGTGAAATTGGAAGTTTTCATATAGACATGCAAAAATGTCTTTGTTCCTTCTTCAGTTCAATCTGGTGTGTTCAGATGGATGGTTGGTGGACATGTTCCAGTCTACTCTCAATGTGGGCTTCTTGGTTGGCAGTTTCGCTTTTGGATACTTTGCTGACAGGTGAGGCTCCAACAACCATCAAGTTTACTGTGCTGGCCAGGTAACATATATAATTACAACTGTGTTTTATAGAAAAATATAACTATAACACCCCTGAAACACATGAAGGCATGTTTGTGTGGTATGAATAGGCGCACTCCTGCAGGCCTCTTGTGGCTAGACTTGTGGCTCTGATGTGTCCTGGTGTGAATATATTATTTTCAAAATAATATTCATTCAACAAATCCCCACCTGATGTATTTTCCATTTCACTCTGCAGGTTTGGCAGGCAGATCAGTTTCTTGGTGTCCAACATTTTGAATGCAGTAGCAGGGATCGCAGTGGCTATAGCGCCAAACTACATCTCCATCCTTGTGTTCAGGACCATCCTTGGCTTCAGTGTCAAAGGAGGCTGGATGACCTCATATGTGCTGCGTAATCATCTCCATGTTTTCTGAAACTGATGTGCTCTGAGGCATCTTCATAACTAACTGTGTAGAAATGACATGGCCTAACTTTTGATCATACATTTTCAAATTATTTTTAGGTGAATAATGCAAGAATTTGCTTAAATTTGTGGAATTTATGTACTTGTGTTATTTTTGCATGTCATATTGTTTTGTTTCTAACAAAATTGTCTTACTTTTAATACTGTTCCTGTCCCTCTGTCAGTCACAGAGATTGTTGGTGTGAAGTACAGGAGAACAGTGGGTATCTTGTACCAGATGTTCTTCAGCGTGGGTCTCCTCATCCTTCCTTTGCTCGCCTACTTTATCACAGACTGGCGCTGGCTCCAGGTCACCTTCACTTTGCCCTACATGCTCTTCGTGTGTTATTACTGGTAAAAAACCAAACAAACAAAAAGGAAAAAAAAAATCACAATGTTGTTTGACATTGTCATCATGTACACATGACAATGTCAAACAAAAACAGACCACTTTATTGATACAAAAAATTGTCTGTGCCTGCCTTTGCGCTCATAAATGACCAGTGGCATTTATGACAGTGCGTCACCTTCATATATATGTATATATGAATATTCCAGTGTTCAGCATGCTGATTGCCTGATCTCTGAGGCAAGTAAGGGTTAGGGAGTCGGGGGCAAGGCAATGGACTACCAATCACGCCATGTGGACTGCCATGTCCACATGGCGTGATCATCCAGGAAAAAATGCTCTCTTGAAATGAGCTACTAGTCACTTTTTCATCACTCTTATGAAAAATTTTAGATCTGTACTTGTTCAGAAATGTCCAACATTTGTCTATGTCATTTTTTCACATAATAGTGTTATCAATATTGCCCATTGGCCAGAGGGGCCGATGGCGCGAGATGGCAGCCTCGCCTCTGTCAGTCAATGTGAGAGTGAATGAATAGTGGAATTGTAAAGCGATTTTTGAGGGTGGAAACCTGTTTTTGGCTTTCCTAGCACACACATTTGGATACTAATCAATTGGATACTAATCAAGGATTTTGTGCACTACTGCAAGTTGTTTGGATAATTGCACAAATAGGCATATATGCAGGTTACCTAGTAAAGTGGTATGTGAGTTTGGATCAGGAAACAAGACTTACAGTACTTCTAGCATAAGATGGTGTTTCCCTTTTTGATCAAAATAGATTTTTCCACTAAATTTATTATAGTAAAAGGAAAATGGAAAACTGCCCATTATCTTTGGGACTATGGTTTATATATGATGTATCTCATTGCTTTTGTTCTGTGCTGATGCAGGAAGCACTCTGGCCTTTAAATAGTAAAGCAAGAAGTAAGGCTATGGAAGTCAGCAAGGTGGATAGAGATGTACTACTTCTTCCTCTCCTGCTGTGGTTTCAGATTCAAGATTCAAAGTGTTTATTGTCATGTGTGCAAAGAAAAAGCGTCTCTCTGTACAATGAAATTCTTTCTCTGCTGTCCACACGCAGATGCCGGTTAATATGTACAAATAGATAAAATAAAAATATGAATAAATACACGGAGACAAAAAAATTGAAGTATTAAATAGATTTATGTGCAAAAGAGCTATGAGCTTAATATGCTGGTTTACTTACTTGTTCCATAATAATAACCATTTTCACCTTGCATATTTACCATAGTCACTTTCCAGGGAGTTAAAAAGCTCCTCATCACTTAAATAATGTATAAATCTTTTCAGTTAAGATTTTTATCTACAGACTTGCACCTTTAGACACTTCTTTGTTTCTCAGGTTTATCCCAGAGTCTCCGAGGTGGCTCATCTCTCAGAACCGTTCCTCCAAAGCTTTGAAGATCACTGAAGCCATGGCCAGAGAGAACCACAGGACACTGTCCAAGAATACGGAGGTAGGCCGATTAAATAGTTCACTTACAGAACAATTTAAGAGTTTATGGATAGCAATGACTAAAGGAACAATATATTCACCAAATATGTTTATCAGTTTACTGCTGATTTTAGTATTTAATGGAATTTGTTGACAAAGATAAAGAAAATCACCAAAACTATTCTCTAACATTTCATTTCCACTAACAGGAAACATTAAGACCTATCATATTAACACTTTTTAATCCTGCTTTAATCTCACATTTCCATGTTTTTATTTCCCAGTCACTGACTGATGGTGAAGGTGAGTCTACCTCTGCCTCTTTGCTGGACCTAATCAGAACTCCAAAAATGAGAAAACACACCTTCATCCTCATGTTCAACTGGTGAGACTTGCCTGAAATCACCCACGTTTTTTGCCTACATGCAGGTGATGCTGAACCTCTGTGTTTGTTGTGCACAGGTTCACCAGTGCTGTGGTTTATCAAGGCCTCGTCATGCGCTTGGGGATAGCAGGAGGAAACGTCTACATTGACTTTCTCATTTCTGGCTTGGTGGAATTTCCTGCTGCCTTCCTTATCCTCTTCACCATTGAACGTATTGGCCGGCGTCTCCCATTCGCCACTGCGAATATCGTAGCTGGAGCTTCTTGCTTCATTGCTGCTTTCATTCCTGACAGTGAGTTTTATGCATAGACTATACAGAAAACACAGACATGGTCACCACCCTGGTACCCATTGGTTATTGACTTCCTGTGTATCTCAGGCTTGTTCTGGTTAAAGACAGCGGTTGCCTGTATCGGTCGGTTGGGGATCACCATGGCCTTTGAGATGGTGGTGTTTGTTAACACAGAGCTCTACCCCACATTTGTCAGGTGAGGAAACTAATTATAACCTGCTGAAGTTATAACCAGGAAATTGTGTTTATCTCTCCATCATTTTGACTGAATACAGGAACCTGGCAGTGTCTGTTTGTTCTACACTGTGTGATGTTGGAGGCATTGTGTCCTCATTCCTGCTGTACAGACTGGCTGCTATCTGGCTGGAAATGCCACTCATCATCTTTGGTGAGTTTATAATGTTTACCAGTAAGCATGTATATGAAAAAAAAAAGGTTAAATACCAGATGAAAGGTGCAAAACCTCATATTTATGTCTTCTCAGGCTGAATTCTTAAGAATGAACTGTGCTCATTGCCACTAATATATTTTGGAAAAGGATGAATCTACAGACAAAATACGTACAAAAAATATTCTGTATTTTATGTATTTACATAGCTCAACTAATGTGAATGCGGGAGTGAATGTGAGTGCAAATGGTTGTCTGTCCCTGTGTGTTAGCCCTGCGACAGACTGGCGACCTGTCCAGGGTGTACCCCGCCTCTTGGCCTAAGACAGCTGGGATAGGCTCCAGCGCCCCCCGTGACCCTGAAAAAGATAAGCGGAAGCGAATGGATGGATGGATGGATGGATGGATGAACTAATGTTAGAGAAATGTATCTATTTTGACATTTGCTTTAAAGGTGTTTACTCTCACCAAATCACATAGATGTTACTAGAATTAAAGAGTACAGATGCAGCTGAACAAGCAGGTTTAGTCTGGATTTCATCTCTTGAGTTTTCCCATTTTAGATAAAGATTCAGCTGTTTGTTATTTTCTTTTTTTTCTTGAAAGAAAAAAAGAGGAACAAGAACAACAAAGAACGTCCCTCAAATCAAAACAAAACCAAACAAACAAAACCCCTAAAAGCATAATATTACTTTGCCGATGGGTTGCCAGAAAAATACTGATAAAAAATTTTAAAATTAAGATTTGGGGGAAATATGTCAGAGATTTTCCGTATGGGCTGTATAGGATTTCTTCTGTAGAATGTATATGATAAATAAAACACATTTAGATGGATAAAAGCTGCACAATTACCTAATGATATATTCAAACATGCATGTAATGTAATAGTTAAGCTTAAAATGGCAGAAAAGTAGTTTTGTTCGTTGTAATTAATTAATAACATATTATATATTTTATCTATATTTAATATAATAAAATTAAATAGCAACTATTAATATTTTTTTTTTATAAAACTAGTAACTGGGTTTTAAAAGGTAACAAATCAAGTTCATAGATTTACCTTTTCAAAAACATCCACAAAATGTTAATAATGTACTCTTAATAACAGATCCTAACAAGGAAAAACAAATGGATCAGATATAATTTCACAAAGTAGTGACACTATTTATAGAATAAAGTAGTAAGTAGTAATATAGTAGTAATATAGCATCACTATGTTTCCATTTGCCATATTTGTCCTTAAAAATGTTTAAAACTTTTTTAAAAAAGTCTACTGCTGCTGTAAAACCCCTTCATCACTTAATGTGGATTTTTACTTATGTAAAACTACAAAGAAATTACAAAAAATATTTTGACACTAACAGTGTTGTTGAATTACATCACTTATAGAATAATGTTCTTGCCTTGCAGGTTTGAGTAATGGTTGTACTGGCTGCTGACTGTGAATGGTTTTTGTCACCCAATTTTAGCCATTATTTTTTCCACAACAACTTCAGGATGTTTCCTGAAGCAGTAAACTAGAATTTAACATCTTATAGGTTATTCAAAGGAAGTAATCTGTTAAATTACAAATTACAAGTTTCAGTTCATTTTATAGTGCCCACTGTCCAGAGTTTGAGCCATCCACACAGTATAATACAATGTTACTAACTGCCTGTGTAACTATTCTTTGGAGTAAATAATTCATGTAATTCATTAAATGTAATATTTTTAGCTAATGTTTAACTAAAATGCTCAGAAAATGCTTTATACTGATACCAGTTCCTTTAATGCTTTTATAGGAGTGTTTTAGAAAGTGATAATTGTTTATTCATTCGATATTTTATTTATTACAAAGATGTTAAAAGCTTTTTATTTAGTTTTTAATCAACAACAATTTGAGTCAGAAATATATATTTTAGTAGCCTAAGTGTGATTATGACCAGAGATTTAAAAAACAGAACAATATCTGAAATTGAAAAGTCTTTAACTTTTTTTGTAGGAAATAATTGAAATAATTTTGCAATTACACTGACATTATCTGCATCTTGTTTTGGTACAGGTGCTGTGGCAATCATAGCTGGAGGTTTGGTGCTGTTACTTCCTGAAACCAAAGGAGTACCTCTCCCTGAAACCATTGATGATATTGAGTTCCCAAATTGGTAAAATGTCCCAGTTTTTTCGGTCATAACACATTCAGAATCCCGTTTACTGAGTACAGCTAAAGTATTAGTCCAGAGGTCCATATGAAGAGCACTGTGTATAACTTGTTATATTAATGAGTAAAGTAATCCTTCTTCTGAGTTCATATTACTTTTTAAAGGCATTACAATTAGCATTTGTTTTTCATCACTGCTTTTTGTAAAACTTAAGTAAAATTCAAAGAAAATCTGTACTAAAGTTTCATTGTAACTGATAAGGAAACTTATCTCAATAGACATTTACTATGCATTATTTGTAGGTGTAGTGTCAAAATGTTTTCTTTCTCTCAGGAAAAAGCGGAGCCAAGAAGAAAATCATCAAATGAAGAATCTTCTGAAGTCTGAAGATCAGATGAAAAAGAGGGAAACGACTACTGAATGATTACATTTTATTTCACCCAAACACAAGGAAGTACGTTTTTAATATTTGTATAATTTCCTTGTTTCATTTAAGTATTGTTTTTCCAAATTTCATTCATTGTTCATTGTCCTTATTTTTTTTTAAACCATTAACATGCGCTGTTTATAGTGTAGCCACATCAGACAGCAGTGCTTGTAATATCAGAGCAGAACAGTGTATATATGTTAAGATCCTCAATAACCACATTGCAGTTTAGTTGGTTTTGATGGTTCTATCTATCCAGTCCACAAACTTAGACACTCGAGCGTAGACGCCAGGTTTCATGGCATTGGCACAGCCCAGACCCCAGGATGTGACACCCTGCAAGACAAACCTGTTTTGCGAATAACACACTAGAGGACCACCGCTGTCACCCTACAAGGAGAAAACACACACATATACATATATTTTACTGTTCAATTCACACACTAGCTGCTTTTGATGCCGTTGAGGTTAACTGCTGGCAAAACTAACAGAGAAAAAAAAAGAAGAATTGTTTGGCCAGTGGCTCATTTAAAAAATATAACAAAAGACTAATTAAGGGATTGGAAACAGCACATCTACTGTATTTGTTGTTGACTATATACATTGAAAAAGTGGGATAGTAAGATTTATTTAACACATTTGACTTGAGTCCTTTTACCTTTTAGGCAGGCCAGACAATAAAATAAAATAAAAACATGAAAAAATAATAAATTAGTAAAATTACAGAATTTACTCTAGACCCCAAAACAGGAACTTTCCCCTTATTTACTTGTTCCTGTTAGTAAATTATGTTGGTGTACTATGAATGGCAATGGGGGTGAGCAGTCTTATTAAATTACAGTTAAAAGTTCAGAATTGATACACGCCTTCACATTTTCTATCATTGTCCAGTGGGTTGGATTTGAGTCTTCTTCAGGACTATCTTGGCCCCCGTGCCTTATGTTTGACACCCCAGAACTAAACATCACTTATAACATGAGTGTGCCACAAAACCCATTCATGTTAATATAATTTTAAAATTGGGTCGCTTTTTCCATGGTTAATCAATGCTACAAATAAGTGGAGGTTTAATTCAAACAAGTATCAGAGAAATGTTTAGTCAATATTCCAGTTACTAAAACAACCATCAGGCACTCATTGTCATCACAGTTCTTTATATCTCGATTTAAATCATCTAAATAACCATCTAAATATTTACTGTTAATATGGAAAATTTACATGCATAACAGATAAGAGAAGTTCAAACATCTGTCTAGTGTTGATTAGATACATTTTTCTGTGTGTGATAACAGAGGACTCAAAAAACTTTAACATGTTTGTAAAATCAAATTTTTCCTGGTTTGAATGTTTAATTTGCAATTATTTGATTTTGGTAGCTTTAATTTATCAGTCTGCAATTTTCTAATATTTTAGAATGACTTTTAATTTGGTGTTAGTTTAATAGTTGATTGTTGAAAGAACTTCTAAATCCAAAGTACTCTAACTTTATGAAATCTTTTCTCATGTATGGTGAACTGTTCTACTGTAAACATATTAAATAAAAATTGTACCTGGCAACTGTCTGTTCCTCCCTCGATATTTCCAGCACACATCTCATGATCTTTGACTCTGCCGTTCAGGTATGCTGGGCGATTGCAGACCCTATTCTCAATCACAGGGAAACCAGCTTCCTTAAGGGTGCCGTCACCTCCCGTACCTGCAGACACAATTCTCAGCGGTTATCCTCCTTGTCATTATGATAAGACATGTTTAAACCATTTACAGTGGCTGTTGTTTGCATAAAAACAAATACTATTATCAACTTCTTGTATGTTGGTTCTATTGCACTGGTCTTTATGTCTCCTTAAAGGTAATTTTTGTCTTAAAAAAGCTACTTTGTTTGAACAAAGTGGAAAACATTCTATAAATGATTAAACAGCTACAATGTTATGTCCAAGGCACCTGTGCATTGTATTTCAAACCGACATACAGTATCAGCACCATTCAAGCCAGAGTTTACTCAACATTTGTACATAATAATGATGTGGGGTATAGTTAAAAGATCAAACTTATTTTTAAAACTAAACATAGAAGAATTGTTTATAAGTTGTCCTGTAAGGTAGGAGTACAAAATTATTTCAATCAGAAGATTAAAGTGCTGGTTGGGCTAAGTAAAAACGCTCTGGTTAAACAGTGACACTTTGTGGTGAAAAGCTTTCATTACATCTTGCAGAGGATTTTACAAAACAAGACCTGATTGTATTTCATATTAACCTGCTCAGTGGTTTTAAGTTTATTATCTATAATGCATCGTGAGTTAGTAAGCAAAAACATGTGATCAAAATTGGTTTAAACAACATAACCAGACACTTTGCATTGTATTTATGTATTTATTTATACAAATTGATCAGGAATTCAGATAATTCTCACAAATAACAACAATAGCACACATAAATGTGACCTACCTTGAGTCTCTCCCCATCCAGTAACATAACACTCTGTTCCACTGGGCACTATGTAGTCCTTTTCTGGCAGACAAGCAGGCTGTACTTTGTCGTTTATTAGCACAGGCCTGAAAACGCACACACAACATATATTCGTACATTGAGAAGCATCAAATTTCAGTCCAATAACATATGGGGGCCACTATGAAGCATGAAGATGGGGTATTCTTTTCTGACACATAGCAATAAGACCAAATGGTGGACGTACGAAGGTAAGAGAGTCCTAGTTATAATATTTACTGTGACATAAAGAGCAAATCAAAAACACATGAACACGTGTTTTTGCTAGATTTTATGACGTTTTTAAAATTTTGTGTACATAGAAATCCACTTTTTCTTTTCATTGCCTCAGCACAATGTTGTGCTGTAAGGGGTACTTTTGAGGAAGACTTTGCTGACAGTGTGTTTGTGTGTAATTATATTTTATTTCATGTATTTGTGCAAAGATTTGTACACATTTCACTGATGTGATGCCTCTTGCGCGGTGAGAGACCATCAAATATTTTCTCTATTTCAGGGACAACAGCTGCCAAGCCACAGAGGATATGGGTGGTGAGACAAGATGTGGCCTCTTCTAAGTCACAACAATATTATATTATATTCACAGCTTTGAAGTCTACACTGGGAAGGCTGGGAAGGCTGTCCAACCACCTGAGCTTCCAAATGAATGGGCAATGTGGTCCTACATACAAAATTGCACGAATTCTGTGCAAATCCAAAAAATAAAGCAGCCAGTGATGGGATATCTCCAAAGTATAAAGAGAAGGAGAAGATACAGAAACCCACAGTTCCCATTCCAAACTGGGAATGGGTAGCAGGTCCACTAAGTTGCAAAAGTAAAGAAAACA